TGTAGGGCTGGGAATGTCCGTTAATGCATGCCCAGAGAGCCAAGCTATGGGAACAAAGGAGTGGTGCACTGCACATGCCCAGAGGCTCAGGTTTCCCGCCAGTAGGCATGGGTGGGCGTGAACCTGAATTGGCCCACCTAGGCCAGGTGAATTCAATTCAGCCAATGGAGTCGATCAGGGGTCGTCCACCACGCCTCCCCGTGGAATCCTTGAAAAGGCAGGAGCCCGGAGTCGAGTGGCAGAACTTTGGCACAGAACTTTGGAGGAACTTTGGGACACTTTTGCATGACGCTGAGCAGTTTCCAGACAAGTTGTACGCTCGGGAGGAGCCCCTCGGGTGCCGTGTAAACCTGAAACTTCTTCTAACTCTCATAAAACTCACTTGGATCATGAACCAGGCTTCGGCGTGAATTCTTTCTCACGCAGAGCCAAGGACTGAGGTATAGATCTAGCTCCAGAGGGATCTAACAATCTGGCTTTTCAGTCCACCTGCACCTTCACCTACAAACTCAAGTTCCTGTTCTTCTGCAACTGAAGCTGACATTTCCAAAGTCCTAGTTCTGGTGGAGAAGGTTACACACTGGGCCACTAATCGAAAGGTCAGCAGTTCAAAACCGCCAGCCACTCCTCAAGAGGGAGAAAGATGGGGCTTTCTACTTCCATCCAGAGCGACAGTCTCAGCACCCCAAAGAGGCAGTTCTACCTTGTCCTACAGGGGTTCTACGAGTCAGCATTGACTGGCTGGCGTGAGTTTGAGTTAGCGCGTACTTCTTCGTTTTCATAGATCAAGAATAATGAGTATATTACAATGAGCTAATCTGATATCAGACAAGCTATTGCAGGCCTATTGTGGCAAGTGGCGCTGCTCCTTTTTGATGACCTACATAGATGTGAACTATGGTGTTAAATTAGGGGCGTGAATGCTTAGTGGTAGAACTTTCCATTCCAGGTGGGAGACCAGGGTTTGGTTCCTGACCAGTGCACCCTATACACGGGGGTGGGAGTGGTGGGGGCCATCACCTGAGGTCAACTCCCTAGTAGCTAGCAACAATAATGCACCAGGCACTGTTCTGAGGAGCTTGCATATATGTTTGTTTCCTATGAGACAACTCTATGATTGTACATGGGGAAACTAAGGCAGAGAGCTTAAGCCCAAGGCATCTCAGGCAGGAAGTGCTGGAAACTTGATTTGAACTTGGACAGTCTGGATCCAGAGTCTTGGCTCTGTCAGAATACATGATCTATTTTTTGCAGGGGACAAGAGATAGTGATGTTGGTTGCTAAGAATCTCTCAGTTTATACCCACAAGACAGTCCTATTCACGGTTTCTTGTGAGCATGAGGCTGGCTTGAAGTGAGAGGTGGGAAACAAAGATTTCTCCCAAGTTGTCTCCCCCAAATATATGCCAAACTTAGCTGCTTTCAAATGACTATATACTTGGAGGTCATCAGAAGTAGGTCAGGGGTTATTCTCCCTAAGGGTTATCAGCCATAGAGCAAACAGTCACCATTGTTTATCCCACAACAAGTAGGACTCACTCCCTTCTTGTATTAGACCCCAGAGAGGTCAAGCCCACTGAAGGGTGACCAAGGTTAGGCAACCATCATGAATCTAGGGTCGCCCTTCTTGTCACATGTGTACCCCTAGTCCCTCCCCTTCCTATCAGGTGCACACCCACAGCTCATCCCCTTCCTGTCACACTAATGCCTATTGTACTGCCCCTTCCTGTGACGTGTGGTTACCTGTAATCACGTCCCCCAAATAGAGATAACCCTTGGTCAGCAATCAAGTTTGGGGGCTTTCCTGGTCTCGTGCTCCCAGGCTTTCCCCATGAGGACCACCAAGCGGGGCTGAGGTGAGCATGCTACCATGAATTGTGTCTGACTCCATTATTTCAATCTCTCTTCTATCTTGCATGCTCTCTATGACTTTATTATAATCTATATCTATATTAACTGTACAATTGCACCTATAGAACCCACAATTAGTGGGGGGGGGCTGGCACCCCTTCCAATCACATTGAGGTACCTTAGAATTTTTGTTCTGGTACTAACAAGTCTCTGTTTTCTCTGGACTAAAACAGGGAAGGTGGCTCACAGAAGGCCCAAAGGAAGGGATGATATATCCAGGGTGGAGTATAGCACTGATGAAACACATAACTATCCTCTAGTTCTTTAATATTTCCTCCCCCACTATTATGGCCTCAGTTTTGCCCCACTAGTCTTGTTAGACCTGCGTATGTACATTTGTGCAATCAAGATCTTTCAATGCACGGAATCCAAGATTGATAAACCCCTCAGAAACAGTAATGGGAGTACTGATTCCTAAGGGCACAGGAAGTGGGGGAAAGGGGAACTGATAGCAACGATGAATATATACCCCACTCAAGGGAATTGAGCAACAGAATTGTAGGTGAATGGATACACTGGATGGTGTAAGATATGGCAACAATAATAATAATATATTAAGGGTCCGTGGTGGTGGTAGGGTGGGGGAGGGAGGGGATAAAGGGGAGCTGAGATCAAAGCGCTCAAGAAGAAAGAAAATGTATTGAAAATGATGATGATAGCTGTTGTATAATTATGCTTGAGGTAATGGAGCAATGGGTTGTAATAATATGTGCAAGAGCTCCTAATAAAATGCTAAAAAATATAAAAGAGATGGAATAAACGAACAAAACAGGGAAGGTAGGACTCAGCAACTCAACTCATTGCCAGTGAGCCAATGGTCACTCATAGAGACCCTATACGACAGGGTAGAGCGGCCCATGTGGGTGTCCAAGGCTGTGCATCTTTATGGAAGCAGAAAGCCTTATCTTCCTCCCAAGGAGCAGCTGGTGGGTTCAAACTGACCTGTGGTGAATAGTCCAATGTAGACAGCCTTGAAGATACACATTGCAATTCCAGGGCCAGAGACAGTGCCAGCATTCCTGCTCACTAAATGGCCTGTGGGGAAAGTGCAGGTCAAATTCTAAGCCCTTTCCCAGTGCCCCCACTCCCATCCCCCAACCCACTTAGAAAGTGCAGGGTAGAAGGCTGAGCAAACACCCCGAAAGGAACAGTAGCAAGAAAGGAGAGCTCGAGTTACTGGAAACTTCAAGTATTACTAAAGACACACAAAGGAATCACATGTATCAGGTGCTTACTCCGTGTGCCGTATGTTCAAAAGAGAGTATATAAATTAACTTTTACAGAAAGCATATGATGGAGGCACTATCTTCCCCATTTAAAAGATGAAGTTTCAGTTTAGAAATTTGAACTGATGTGGCCTTTTACTCCCATAAACAGTTACAGGCTGGGAAACCCTACCCTGTCCTATAGGGTCACTGTGAGCTGCCATCAACTCAATGGCAGGGAGTGGTTTTTTTTTTTCTTTTTTGGTGTGGGTGTGGGTGTGGGTGGGTGCCTAAGATTAAAGAGCCCTGGTAGCTAGTGGGTGTGGAGGTGGGAAGCTAACAGGAAGGTGAGCAGTTTGAATATAGAGCACTGGTTTAGGGTACAAAAGAGTCCCATCTCAAGGATCATTTAAAGAGAACATTTATTAAGGGACTTCTCTGCAGTGTACACTAATATTTACCCTGAGCCACACTCGAGATTACCGCCAGGAAGGTTAAATCTTAAGAGACAAAGGCAACACAAAGTCACAGCCCCATCATCTGGATGAGGTAGGCTACTGACATGAGGTTAAAATGGTGTCCTAGGGTTCACAATTGGGAAGCAAGATAAATAGGGTATAGATGTGTGTGTAGGGAGGGGAGAGACAAAGGAAACTGTCACAAAAGTATGGTTGGTGGCAGATCAATACATCACAGTTACAGGTGAGACTACAAAAGCAGGAACGGGATCTTGATTGGGACACGTACATCGTTAAGATAGAAGGGCTTACAAGATTAGTCCAGGGACTTGTGACCAAGACAGGGCAAGACCAATGAGATCCCCCCCTGTACCGTCCCCAGCACTGGGACTTCCATCTAGGACACACTAGGCAAATCCCCAAGGCTGTGGCTCCCTGGGCTTGCCAAAGAGGGTGGAGACAATCTATTGGCTCTCTGCTCTCTGTGAGTCCACTACACACAGCAACACTATAGGGCAGGGTAGAATTGGCCCGGTTTAACTGTTCACTGCAGTAGAAAGCCGTCTTACTTGCTCGGTGCAGCTGGTGGTCTTGAACTGCTGACCTGTGGATCACAGAACAATTTATAACCAGGGCACCTAAGGTTATTTGCATCCTTGCTTAATGATCAGAAAGCACTCAAGGGAGGCTTCATCTCTGTTGGTACTCTGAAAATGGATTTCGGATGGTCACTGCCATCTATAGCCTTTTGCAAACCAGGGTGCTCAGAATGTAAGCTCTAATATAGCACCCACCAGCCTCTCAGCAGGAGCAAAAGGAGATTGTCTTGCAAATAATAATTTACAGTGTACCAAACCACCAAAGAGGCAGTTCTACTCTGTCCTGTGGGGTCGCTATGATAGCAGCGAGTCTGGTTTGGTTTGCTCATGATTGCCCAGCTAGTAAATGCTGCAGCCAGAATTCAAAACCAGTCTTACTCCTGAGCCCAGGCGGTTTCCACAACCTGTGTTTCCTATGAGATCATTTTAGTCCATTCTCCCGAAGAGCCTGACTCAGAGTGACAATGCAGGGCAAGGTAGAACGGCTCCATGGAGCATCCGGGGCTGTAAATAGTATGTTTCTCTCGCAGAGCCGATGGCAGATTTGAACCGCGGAGCTTTATGTACAGGTCAGCAGCCCCACGCCACCCGGTCCTTTACTGACAGCCGATAGGAGTGGTTACTATTCCCCCCATGTTACATAGGAGGAAAGTGGGGCTCCGAGTGGCCAGGTGAGGCCACCGTCTGCAGGCTGAGCCTGCAGGCGTGTGCACGTGCACGTCGACGCCGCCGCCCGGAAGCTCGCTTCTGCCCGGCCCGGCGGAGCTAGTCCCACCTTCCCAGATTCCCGCGTGGGGCGCAGCCGGCGGGGAACTACACTTCCCGGCAGGCCGCGGGCGCGCGCACGCGCGCCACGGCCTCCACCATGGCGACCGTTCTGTCCAGGGCGCTCAAGCTCCCGGGTAAGGAGTCGCAGCTTCGTGACCACCCCGCCCCTGCCCGCCTGCCTGCGGAAACACGGAGGGAATATTCTTGGGGCGAAGCTGGTCGGGGCCTGCACACCAGCGGGGAGTGCTGGCAGCCCTGGTGGGCTGGGGTCCGTGCGCCGCCGGCGAGTGGGCGGGGCGTCCTGGCCGGCGGGGGTCGAGGGTGCGAGGCGACCGTGGGAGACGCCCCGAAAGGGACCCCTGGAGGCGAGCTTGGCAGGAGGCCCCGAGCGGACGGGCGCTATGGCGGCGCGAATGTCAGCGTGCGTGTCGCCGAGTCCAGGGGAAGGGTGGGCAGGGGAGCATCCTTCCAAGCGCAGCGCACCGGGGCGGGGGTCCCCTGCTCCTTCTGTTGTGGGCTGCACCTGGGCGAGGGAGAGGAGGGGGCGGAGGCGGAGAGGGACCCTCGGTAGAGCAGCCTTTCTCCTGACCGGCAGCAGTGACGCAGCCATGTGAGTAGGACAGGTATTTCCCTTCTTATTTTATAGAAGAAGAAATCCCTAAGAGTCATTGGGCCGAAAGCCTTGGCCGGTCCAGTGTCCCATCAACAGAATTGGCAAAGCCCGGGGTGGAGCTCCCTGGGGACTCCGTGTTGGTGGTCTTTTACTTCCACTTGGTGGGCCGCCAGCTGTGGAGGCTGAGCATTTCCGAGGGAAATGTTTTGGCACCTGCAACTTGCAGATAATTTGTAGAATATTCTCTAAAGAGGCAGTAGTGTTGATGGCGATTTGCAAAACGGATTCTGTACTTTGAGCAGCAGTTCTTCCAAGTGTGTGTGTGTGTGTGTGTGTGTGTGTGTGTGTGTGTGTGTGTGTGTTTAATGACAGCCTATTTATTTTGCGCAAGTAAATGTTAAATACGAGGGATTTAGTAAGACGGCTATGCCTCTACTTAAAGGTTAACGGTTGAACTGTGAACGTTTGACTACTTGTAATTGACGATGCGAGTGGGAAAAGCGGTTGTTTTCACTGGCATCATCAGAAAGGGTTTGTTGTCTGGGGATGGGGGATGGTGAGATGGTTGTTGTCTGCTGGATACTGGAGGGGGATTCCAGGAGCCCTTGTTCTTGAGTAGAACAGACAGATTGCACACTTGGATGCTATTCAGAAGGTTGGCAGTTTGAACCCATCCCATTCCCCATCAGAGGAAAACAAGCCTTGTGGAGCTCAGTTCTACAACGCAGAGCCTGGCCGATTTGACTCCATAGCAACTGGTTGGATTGGGGTTTCCAGCATGGTACATGGAAACAACCTTTGCGCTTTCGATGACACTGGGCTGGGTATGAAATAGAACATTGTATTCCTGTCTCCAGACTTCATAACCCCAACAGTGGGCTCCTTAGGATATTTCAGGGGCCAGTGGTCATACCTGTCTTGGAGCGTGCACAGAACTTGGGCGCTAAAGGACAGGCATGCCCTTTGTCTGCTAGGTCACTTAACTGAAGACAGTTGACAGGGCATCATTTGTATAGGGTGAAGTACTTGCAAGGGGTTAATGAGATTTCAAGCACAGCTAGCTTTCCGTTTTGCTCTTAGATTCCTTGCTTTATTTCAGCATGGTTAATTCTTATTCTCTAGGGCAGTGGTTCTCAACTTTCCTAATGCCGCTTTCCTCATGTGGTGACCCCCCAACCATAAAATTATTTTCATTGCTACTTCATAACTGTAATTTTGCTACTATTAAGAACCGGGCGACCCCTGTGAAAGGGTCCTTGGACCCCCCAAAGGGGTCTTGACCCACAGGTTGAGAACCGTTGCTCTAGGGATAGGAACACAACACGCTTTCTTTAGAAACTTGAGCTCTTTTGCATACTGATATCGTAACACGGTGGCATTCACTAATCTCAGGATTATTTGGTCAGCTAACAGGGAGGGAAGCACTGCTATAGCAAGTCCTTGGCCTTGCCCCTGAGCAGTCCGGCATGTCTTGATACTGTTAGAGGCCCAGATGCAGTAGCCATGCGTTTTTTCATGTGTTACTGGGCTTTTACACGTTCCCTTGCCTCCCTCTTACCCTTTCTCCCTTCTTCAAAACACTTCAGCTCTTAGGTTAGCGCTCATTCAGTTCGCTGCCCTGGAGTCAATGATGACTCCTAACAGTTACGTAGTAGGACAAGGTAGACCTGCCTTGGTGGGTTTCCAAGACTGGAACTCTCTATGGGCGCAGAAAGCCCTGTATTCCTCTCACAGAGCCTAGGTCGGTGAAGGATGTGACAGTCAGCTCTGTGAAGATTCTCAGCCTTGGAAACTCTGTAGGGCAGGTCTACTCTGTCGTATAGAGTTGCTATGAAGTGGAATCGACTTGATGGCGGTGGGTTTGGCTTTTTTGGGTGGTGGTGGTGGTGATGTTAGTTAGGGATTACTTTCTTAGCACTTTTTTGGACATCCATTAATTGATTGGGGTCATGGGGTTGCCTGTTCTGTTTGGGCCAGTGTGTTGTGTTACCTTCATTCACCTCATCATAATTGTATAACAGAAGCAGACAAGACTGGTGGCTAAGAAAAGGTCACAGGCTTGGGTTCGAATTTAGTCATCACCCTGAATAGTTAATCTCTGCAGGCTTTCATCTCGTCATCCTTAACATTGCTGTGGAACATTTACTACACGCCACACATGCTGCTTATGTTTGCCTGGCAGGGTTATTTGGAATATTCACAGAGGTGGATGTATTTAAGAGGCTTATTAACCTCTAAACCCACTACCCATTGCCAATGAGTCAGCAACTGACTTGGCAACCCTATAGGGCAGAGTAGAACTGCTTCAGAACGTTTCCAAAGGAAGTGACATCACTCTCCCTTGGTGCGGCTGGGGGGTTCAAACCACTGGCCTTTGGGTTAGCAACCCAGCGCTTAATCCGCGGCACCACTAGGGCTCCTTATTAACCTCTTAACATGCTTTCATTAGAAATTCTAATGAAAACTTTTTAAGAAGTGTTCATATGATTATGATCATCCCCCTTGCAGTCACTTCTGAATGTGTTACCCACAGATCTAAAACGGTGTACAGGTTGCAGGAGTTGGTGGAAATGTGGTTAAGTCTCCTACTCTTTCACTGAACACAGGTTGGAAAAGGATTTGGCTCACATGAGTAGAATGAAGGTAATTAGTAACAGAAGGACAATATGACATTCATAAAGCCTGTGAACAGCTTATCTTATAAATGTGTGTGTTTTTTAGGGCCCTCTTAAAGTTTGAAGGTTAAACATTGAAGATAATATCAAAGCAAATGATTATTATAATGTTCATTGTTTTTTTCAACTATGTGTAACTTAATGATTATGTGGCCTTGGATAAACTAACCCATGATATGAATATACCTTTAGTAAATATACTTTTCATTGCATTAGAGGGTTTAGTATGTGTGTGTTATAATGCAAGGGTAAATAAAACATTATTGCTACAACATTATAGAAACGCTTATTAAACAAAAGCACCAAGATGTGGAGCTTTTGTTTCTCAGCATCTCTTCTATCTTAGACTCTTCTGAAGACAGTGTTTCCATCTCTCTGACCCTTCCCCGCAGAACTCCGCACGCCGCTGTGCACCACGTCACGTGGCAGCCGGGGCGCTCTCGAGGCACGCACACTGTGCGCTCCTTCAGGTTTTGCCCTTTGAGTGTTGGCAACAAGAAGAGGCCTGATGGGGCTAGGTCAGGGATGTGGGGGAGGGTGGGCGCGTACCGTGTCCCAGTGAAGTTCTCACAGGGCAGCCCTTGCCACCTTCAAAGAAGGAGCAGTTAGGTACATTGTCATGATGGAAACAATTCTTTGGTGCAACTCTCCTGACTTTTTTTTCTCACCAGTGAATTTCCCCCCCAGTTTCCTTTAAGCTTCTTCATCATAGCCCCCTCTGATTATCCTGTGTTCTTTTGAGAAAATCTGCCAAGATTATTACCCCGTTGGAATTTCAAAACAGTTGCCATAACCTGAGCTGCCCTCTTTGCCTGAGTTTAACGGGCCCAGCAGACCCCCTCTTTGATCGGGCCTCCTTTGTAAGGCACCCTCACAAGACCTGCGACAGGTGTGCCACTGAGAGGCCTGCTCTGCATCCAGGCACTGATGGCCATGGAGACCTGTTGAAACAGGTTTTGTTGGGTGTAAACCCGAGCGTGTAAGAACTGGAACCCTAGTTGCAATACTTCTTGGCCTGAGGCTGTGTAACTCTTGGCAAGTTTTCGCACCTTCTTATGCTTCGCTCTGTCTTGTCTTTCTGTGAGTACATAGAAAATGTTTATTTAGGAGTGCTCTAATCACGCTCTGCAGCCTGTAATTATTAAGCTGACATTTGACTTTGCCCTATCAGGAAACCGTATATACTCATGGTGGAAAAGTAAATAAAAGTTTGGCCCTGGTCTTCTAGGATCTTTTATAGAAAGGTTCACAGTTATGATAAAACCCGAAATACCCCGTCATCGAGGTGATGTGACTTATCGACCCTCTGAGGGTATGCGAGCGTCTAAGTTTGTTTTTTTTAAATCCTTTTATTAGGGGCACACACAGCTCTTATCACAATCCATACATATATCAATTGTGTAGAGCACATTTGTGCGTTCATTGCCCGCCTCTAAGTTTTTGCATGTTTACCCTGATGCTTTCACAGCATCATGGCTGTGTCAGGGACCTTGGGCTTAGGAGGTCCTACTGCACCTACTGTCGGGGAAGCATTGGACAGGTAGCTACAAAGTCGGCAGTTTAAACCCACTAGCCATTTTGGGGAGAAAAGATGAGGCAGTCTGCACCCATAAAGACTCTCAAAGCCGCAGAAACCCCTTATTGGGTTGTTGTGAGGCAGAATCAACTCAAAAGTCATGAGTTGGAATCTTTTAATAATTAATGCATGTGATGGTGAAGGGGAACCCTGCTGGTGTAGTGGTTAGGTGTTGGGCTGCTAACTGCACGGTCAGCAGTTTGAAACCACCAGCTGCTCCGAGGGAGACAGAAGGGGCTTTCTACTCCTTTACAGTCTTGGAAATTCACA